TATTATTCTGTGATTTAATATCAATAATAATGATTAATGGCCGTGGCGCGACGTGACATGATGAATTATCGCTGGTCAACAAGACTGTAATAAACAATAATCAATAATGCTTACCACTGTCCTATATTTATATCTGTGTAATGTTAGTATGTTACATCAAGGCCGAATGTCCATCCCAATGACATATAGTGAGTTTATAATGGTGGGGTAAGTTTCGGTCGTATACTTAGTAGGTACAATGAATTATTCACGACGTGTTGTTGCGAAACAGTAAAATTGTGCTTAGTTATTAACATTTTGTATTTTCTAGCCCACCGCCACCGCCGTTTGGTTTGGGTCGTCTTGTGTTTGAGCTGCTGCATCCAATGGTGTATTTGCTAGRTAGCGTTGGTTAAATCGATTGTTTACTGGGAAATGGAAGGCATTGATGTGGAGTTTGCAGATGTGACCCTAACGGTCAATGTATGGGATCCTCTGGTGACGAAGACRTTAAGRCCAGGTAAAGTACATAATATCTACCTTAAAATACTATGGACAATAATGTGGAAAAATATTGTGTATACTGCAAGTGTGGCCAAAGTATTTTTGATRAAGTTTTACTGAGAACATATTTTTTCTTTAAGAAGTTGCCTATAACTGTTGTTAAATGCAGTCACTCGTATTTATTAAAGGGAATAATGAACTTTGATGTAGGAAGTCTGTAAATTATTGGCAGTTCCTGGCTTATAGTGTTCTTTATTTTCTACCATTATTCAGACTGTTCAAATTAAATCATCATATTATTATAGTTATCAGATATTAACATACTCTGTTGTTTTAGAAAAGAAAACTGTTTTGAACAATGTCAGTGGCTCGTTCCATAGAAATCAAGTTGGGGYCATACTTGGATGTYCTGGATCTGGAAAGTCAACTCTTATGAATATTTTATCTGGTTACATGTGAGTGTTTTACAACAAATTATTAACCAACGCTAATTATATTGGTATAATATATAATTTTTAATTTTATTATTTTATGTGTGAAATCTTTAATGTTATGTTTTGTATTTTTAAACGGCTTAGATCAAGTGGTTACCAAGGATCTGTGACTTTAAATGGAGCACGACGAGATTTGCTAACATTTAGGAATGTCTCAAGCTACATCATGCAAGAGGATAATTTGCAACTATACTTGACTGTTCAAGAATCTATGGAGATTGCCATGAAGCTTAAACATTCAATCTCTAAATTGGATGTTCAAAAAAGAATCTCAGTGAGTTTCTAATAATTACTGAAACATAGCTAATTAATTTTAAAAGGCTGCATCATTAAAAAAAAATTTTTGTCTCTTACTTAAATAGAGTAAAGTTACAACAAAAGCCGTATTTCACTTATTGTAATTTCATTAAAATTAAGGTTTCCTTAAATTATTTATTTTTATTTATAAAAATAAAATGCTAAAAAAAGGTTCTGATATAAAACTGATTTTATATTATTCTTTATAATTATTAAAATATCAAAATTTAAATGCTGTAATCACAATGTGTGAATTATGGAGGGAGATTTTTACATTTTACAATACGTTACAAAAAATTGAAGAAAAAATTATACTTCTGTGCTCTCTTATTTATTATTTGTACCTTTCAGATAGACAGTTTACTTCATAATTTACTTTTATATGATAAACGAGACTCATTGGTTTATAATTTATCCGGTGGCGAGTGTAGAAGACTGACCATTGCTTTAGAATTGGTTCGCAGCCCAAAAGTGATGTTTTTTGATGAACCAACAACGTAATATATTTGTATTAGTTTTTGATAAATTATAATATTTTGGTTTTTTTTTATGGACCAGCAGAGGTCTGGATATAGTTTCTGCAAATAATGTTGTTAAGATCATGAGAAAATTGGCCGACTCTGGGAAAACTATAATATGCACTATACATCAAGCTTCGGCTTCTCATTTGACAAATTTTGACACGGTTTATGTTCTTACACCTTCAGGGCAATGCATGTATAATGGCAAGTCATCATATATAATTGATTATTTCTCAGATCTTGGATTTCAATGTCCTGCGTATCACAACCCTGCTGATTATGGTTGGTGGTAATGCCTCGAGCAAAAATATATATTATTGTTTCACAAATGTATTTAAATTTATTGAATTATTTATTCAGTAATTGAACTGAGTTTGGGTGAATATGGAATACCCGTTAATACAATGATTGAGTTAGCTACTGAACAAAACAAGAATGATAGGCATATAATTGGTAAGAACAATAAACACATTTAATATAAATTACTTAATATTATATTATTCATTGTTTAATTTATTTCAGACCCAAGTTCTAACTCTKTACCTGTAATTTATAGTCGAGAATATTCTACAAAATGTTTTCCTGAGCTTTGCATACTTATGCACAGAACTTTGCTAACTACTTTTAGAGATCATGTTAGTGGTTTATAGTTGACATTTTGAAAACTATGTAAATTTATAAAAATATTTATTTTCAAGTTTCTAGTTAAAGTAAGAATTTTTGTCCACTTCTTGCTGGGGATCATGTTTGGAATTGTTTACATWGGACTTGGGAAGAGCGCTATGCACGTTCGTGACAATGCAGTGTTACTATTTTTCTGTGTAATGTTTATGACTTATGTAGCAGCTTTTACAATGTCTATAAAATGTTAGTATTGGTATAAATACATTAAATATTTGAATAATAATGCTTTTATTGGTGTATTAGTAGTATAGAAACGATTTAATATTTATATTTGTATTTAATTAGTATTCAATAATAACATTTTTGTGCTTTATGCTATATGTTTTAGTTCCATTAGAGTTTTCAGTGATGCGGAAAGAATATTTTAACAGATGGTATTCATTAAGTTCTTATTACATTTCTGTCACACTTGTAGATCTACCAGTACAAGTTAGTGCTAAATATATAATACACAATATTTAAAATTTAAATTAATTAACTAATCAAATATCAATTTTTAAATAAATAAATACTATGAAATAAATAGTTCAATTATTACAGCTCTTATATTTTATTTTATTTCAGATTTTTTGTACCTTTTTGTTTTGTTCATTGATATACTTGTTATCTGGTCAACCTATTATAGTCTTTAGAATTTCAATGTTTCTATTGATATTTATTGTAACTGGACTTATGTCACAAGCAATTGGAATGCTTGTCAGTACTCTCTGTAAAGGTTTTGTTGTAAGTTCTAAAACCTAAGCTAATATTTGTTAAACATGAAATACTAAAATATAACAAAATTTGTTCTAGATTAATACTGTTATTGTTGCATTGATATTAATGTTTTGGACGACTTATGCAGGTGGCATGATAAGAATATCAGATACTCCTAAAATATATAGATGGTTATATGATATATCATTTATGAAACATTCTGTGCAAGGTGTACTTCATTCAGTTTATGGTTATGATCGTTCTGTATTGCCTTGTCCAGTTGTAAGTAATTTAATTATGTTTTAAGATTTTAAAAATTGATTACAGTTAGTATCTAGTTAATTGATAAAAAAATCAATGTAAATGATCATAACAATTCAATATGTTTTAAAATATTGTATTAATAATGTAATAATTGCTTATAATCCAATGGTTATATTTGCTTTCTAAGTATGTAAGAAAATGTACATCCAAAAGAAATGGTTAAATTTTGTTCAAAATAATTTTAGATGAAATTTTATTGTACTTATTGGTATCTCATATGATTTTATAAAAAAATGTTTAATAGTCTTAGATTAAATAAAAGACACACTAAGAAAATTTGTATTTAATATTTATACATTTTCTATAAATCTGATGGTTTAAAAACAACTTAAAATTTAGATACTAAAATTAGTGAGCAGAACAAATTATTTAATTGTTTTGCTGTTAAAATAATAAGGTTTTTTTCATGTTTGTTTAGATGTTTTGTCCATTTGGTTCTCCAAAAGTTATGCTAAAAACAATTGATATGGGTGAGAATTTGTACTGGATAAATATTAGCTTTATCGCTAGTATTTATATTGTATTGAAAGTATGTGCTTTTATCGCCTTAAAGTATAAGCTRTCTTCTACTTGAACCAAATACCAATCAAAACATTAATGCAATTTGAGATACTAAAAATTGAAGGTGATTCAATATTAGTATTCATTTTTATTTAACTTCTTTTATTATTTAGTATTACTTTCAATTGAAAAACAATTACACATAAATTATATTTTTTTCATGTAATAACTAATAATCAATTTACTTTAGAATAAACAGGAACCTAAATTTCTACAAAATTAAATACTTGTACGACCATGAATAATTGTAATGTTAAAATAGGTGACTCATATATTATTTGAGATATAATTGTAATAATATGTACATCATAATAAATAGTTAGAAGGAAAATAATAAAATATTAATACTGACAGATGTTCTTAATATCGTTTTATTTATTTATTTATCAACATTTCACGGGCATCGYCCTTTAAACAGTTGAAACAATAGAACAGTGCATATTAAACATTTATAAATACAATAACTAGAAAAAATATTTATATTATAAATAAAGATGAGTTACATCATTTACACATTGGCCAACATTTACAAATATTGTTTATGTTTGTAAAGTGTATATGCCTCTTCATCGAAGTCCACTGAAAACAGCACAAGGTGGTTGTATGTAAGTGGCAAAGGTGCCGGCAAATGGCGATATATGACTATAAATCGCACACTGGATTTGCTGGATGTACCCMCAGGTACGCAGACAGACGATTACGGCCAGTGGGCAGTGGCCCAACAACAAAAACAAACAAGGCACGCGACGGCGAACGAACACAACTATGTGTCAGGATCGACCGCTCGGAGTAGACCACAAAGACAAAGATGTCGGGCGCCGGGACTTGCTGGACGACACTTATCTCCGCCACCACGCAGCTGTTCACAGCTACACAGCGTTCCGCGTTCGAACATAGGGATATTAAAAATAAATTATAGGCATAGGTGKGTACAATTTTTTGTAACTGATTACACCGTTGATGATTCCACGCAACGCCACTGCGCCTATCGTACCCACATTGTCGTGTTGGCAAAGCGTCGCGACACCACGCGAATATCACCTTCAAAGTCTACTAACTCCCTATCTGCTGTGCGAGTAGCCCTCGTCGGTTCGGAGAGCCCTAAAGGCTAAAAGGTCTAATCTTTTCAGTACCTACCATCCTCCTCAGCGCACCTGGTTAGGCCATGCTCTTTCCCGGACGGTATTTACGAGCCAACGCCACTTGTCCGAACGTGCCGGACGTAATATAATATTATGTTCCCCAACCCGAACGCTGTAACAAACCGTACATTTCCCAAGATTTTAATCGGATCTCTAATTATTTAAAGTGGATAAGGTATTCACTAAAGTAGAACTATTTTCGTTGGACTATCGTCATTGCTTAGCATTTTGGAGTATAAACGTTGGAAGTATGCATTTTGGTATTTTTAAGTTCTTATAAAGAAACGTATAAGATACCTAGGTACTTTGAATTAAACTCACATGTCTCGCGAGGACCAATAAAAGCTTAAATTAAAAAAAAAATCAATATACTCCGTTTTAAAAAMCAATAGTTTTATTACTCCTCATAGAACATGAACATTTATAAATATTTTTATTTTTTCAAACTTATTTCCATATTGTTTATTGTTTTAATAGGTATATTTATATTGTTTAGAAGTATTATAAAGTTAATATAAACATATCTTAAAATATGAATTATAATTATTAGATAAAAGTAAAATATAATAATAAAAGAAGTTTTTATTCTCCCCCTACATGAATGCATTTTTTTTWWAAATCATGTTGCATGAAAAAATTCATAGTAATATTTATGGTATTATATAATTTCAATTGAAAATAGCATTTGACTTGTAAAATAGTGAATTTTTGTCAGCCGAAATGTTTCAATACATCCATGTTAAGAGATACAAAAAATATAACAATATGATAAGAATCATGTTCCTAAAGATAGYGTGCYAACTGATCTATAGAATAAAGMCAAACACYATTCCGTTGCTGTTCAGTGAAGTAGTTCGGGTTAATAAATTSCGTTAAATATTGGYCAGCATYARTTATTGTTTGATTACAGAATGTTTKAAACAATTCTGCCGGGACTGAAAAATAAATTGGTATTATAATTTTGATATTGTATATTAGATTGCCCCACAACTAACTTGTACAATTGTACCAGTGGCGGGGCGAGGTAAAATTTATATGTGGGCGTCGGGCGAAGTAGACTTAAATAAGAGGCCCTTTTTTAAATTTTTTGAACTTCTCCCATATTTCTCTATGGTTAATTATAAAGCCCTTTAGAACGTGGGACCGTGGACAATGGCCCACACCGCCCAAGCCTAGTGCCGCCACTGAATAATTATACATACATAATGTTTATAAAAAGAATATTTGCAGAAAATCCGACAAAATTGAACTCAGCACAAAGTGATTGTAATTAATTTTATAATGACAATATTGAATGTTTCTATTATTGTATGATAAATTATAGTTTTTAAATTTCTGGATTTTGATGTATTTTTTCCAAGACGGTAAATTTTTATCAAGATGAATTTAAAAATAAGCAAAAAATACATAAATATATGATTTCACACAATATTATATTCCGGAATAGCTTATATATTGCAAGGATAACTTGTTCTTAATACATAATTTACTTAAGTTTGAAAAACTATGTAAGGTTAATCTCACCTTATGATGTGCTTAGAACTTAGAACGGCTATAGGTATGACATATGCGAAAAAGTTACAAAAATCACCTATCATTTGCGCCAATCTAATATTGTATACCTGTTATAACCAACATATGACATAAACACCAAAGGTGTAAAAATGAAATTTAATTTGAGCTAAAATTAATATTTTATAAAAGTAGTTATTTAAAAATTGCCATCTTATAAAAAAATATATTATATTAAAAAAAAAATGATCAATAATAAATAAATAAATATAGGGGAACATGGGGCAAAGTGGGGTACCGGGGCAAAGTGGGGACATCGTAATATCTATCTGTTTAATGATTAAATTTGATAATATTTTTAAATTTATAGCTTCCTTGATCATCTGAGATTGTGTGATAAAAGTTTTGAACTTAATTATCGATTATTTTGCGATTAATCGATNAAATGGTGCACGACGAGATTTGCTATCATTTAGGAATATCTCAAGCTTCATCATGCAAGAGGATAATTTGCAACTATACTTGACTGTTCAAGAATCATTGGAGATTGCCATGAAGCTTAAACATTCAATCTCTAAATTGGATGTTCAAAAAAGAATCTCAGTGAGTTTCTAATAATTACTGAAACATAGCTAATTAATTTTAAAAGGCTGCATCATTAAAAATAATGTTTGTCTCTAACTTAAATAGAGTAAAGTAACAACAAAAGCTATCTCCGTATTTCACTTATTGTAATTTCATTAAAATTAAGGTTTCATTAAATTATTTATTTTTATTTATAAAAATAAAATGCTAAAAAAAGGTTCTGATGTAAAACTGATTTTATATTAATCTTTATAATTATTAAAATATCAAAATTTAAATGCTGTAATCACAATGTGTGAATTATGGAGGGAGATTTTTACATTTTACAATACGCTACAAAAAATTGAAGAAAAAATTATACTTCTGTGCTATCTTATTTATTATTTGTACCTTTCAGATAGACAGTTTACTTCATAATTTACTTTTACATGATAAACGAGACTCATTGGCTTATAATTTATCCGGTGGCGAGTGTAGAAGACTGATCATTGCTTTAGAATTGTTTCGCAGCCCAAAAGTGATGTTTTTTGATGAACCAACAACGTAATATATTTGTATTAGTTTTTGATAAATTATAATATTTTGGTTTGTTTTTATGGACCAGCAGAGGTCTGGATATTGTTTCTGCAAATAATGTTGTTAAGATTATGAGAAAATTGGCCGACTCTGGAAAAACTATAATATGCACTATACATCAAGCTTCGGCTTCTCATTTGACAAATTTTGACACGGTTTATGTTCTTACACCTTCAGGGCAATGCATGTATAATGGCAAATCATCACAAATAATTGATTATTTCTCAGATCTTTGATTTCAATGTCCTGCGTATCACAACCCTGCTGATTATGGTTGGAGATAACGCCTCGAGCAAAAATATATATTATTGTTTCACAAATTTATTGAATTATTTATTCAGTAATTGAACTGAGTTTGGGTGAATATGGAATACCCGTTAATACAATGATTGAGTTAGCTACTGAACAAAACAAGAATGATAGGCATATAATTGGTAAGAACAATAAACAAATTTAATATAAATTACTTAATATTATATTATTCATTGTTTAATTTATTTCAGACCCAAGTTCTAACTCTTTACCTGTAATTTATAGCCGAGAATATTCTACAAAATGTTTTCCTGAGCTTTGCATACTTATGCACAGAACTTTGCTATAACTACTTTTAGAGATCATGTTAGTGGTTTATAGTTGACATTTTGAAAACTATGTAAATTTATAAAAATATTTATTTTCAAGTTTCTAGATAAAGTAAGAATTTTTGTTCACTTCTTGCTGGGGAGCATGTTTGAAATTGTTTACATAGGACTTGGGAAGAGCGCTATGCACGTTCGTGACAATGCAGTCGTGTTACTATTTTTCTGTGTAATGTTTATGACTTATGTAGCAGCTTTTACAATGTCTATAAAATGTTAGTATTGGTATAAATACATTAAATATTTAAATAATAATGCTTTTATTGGTGTATTAGTAGTATAGAAACAATTTAATATTTATACTTGTATTTAATTAGTATTCAATAATAACATTTTTGTGCTTTATGCTATATGTTTTAGTTCCATTAGAGTTTTCAGTGATATGAAATAAATAGTTCAATTATTACAGCTCTTATATTTTATTTTATTTCAGATTTTTTGTACCTTTTTGTTTTGTTCATTGATATACTTGTTATCTGGTCAGCCTATTATACTCTTTAGAATTTCAATGTTTCTGTTGATATTTATTGTAACTGGACTTATGTCACAAGCAATTGGAATGCTCTCTCTGTAAAGGTTTTGTTGTAAGTTCTAAATCCTAAGCTAATATTTGTTAAATATGAAGTACTAAAATGTTACTAAATTTGTTCTAGATTAATACTGTTATTGTTGCATTGATATTAATGTTTTGGACGACTTATGCAGGTGGCATGATAAAAATATCAGATACTCCTAAAATATATAGATGGTTATATGATATATCATTTATGAAACATTCTGTGCAAGGTGTACTTCATTCAGTTTATGGATATGATCGTTCTGTATTGCCTTGTCCAGTCGTAAGTAATTT